TATAAGAAGTGACATGATCCTGTCTTTTATTACTAGTGCAAGACTCTTAATATTTCTAGTAAGATCCAATTTATCTTGTTGTTGGGTTATACCACCTTTTTTCTCTTGAGTGAACATACACATTGTAAAAAAAAAAGTGGTTTACACCCCCATCGATACAATTTAGATCATTTAGGAGGCAGAATTTGCCTCTGCCTGTCAGGGCAAACGCAGATACAATAACGTCTCAGCAAAACACCATACACTCGAAAAAAAATCTTCCCACACAAGAACCGAATTCGGGTGTTCCGTGTGCAATGGTAAAGTACCTGACCGCTACACTACAGTGCTGGTAACTTGTGCTTCTAAACAGAATTTCGTGCACCAGTTTTGAATTTGAGTTCCAGTATAAGTTTCACTGCACTATCATATACTATCAACACAATATTTTGGTCATCCAAGGGTCACAACCAGATTTTCTTCAAATTGCTTTTCTTGCTACATACTAAAAGGACGGACAGACATTCATCAACATCTGTTAGTAGTCATGTTAAAAATTTACAATTATTTAACAATTTCCTTTCAATGCAAAATAGCTTCGCGCTCACGCATGTGCAGAGAGTTAAGTCCGGTCTCTCAGCTGGGGATGTGACGTAACTCAGGACACCATGTTTGAGGAATGACTCAAAGTATGAGCAACTTGTTTCGTGAGCAAATAGCGGGATGACAGATAGGATAAGGGAAGGGGCAACGGGAAAAGGTTGGATCCATCCTTTCCTTTAGGAAAAAAAGGGGGGAGAGAGGCCGACGTAAAAGAGGGTGGGGTCGATCGTGGGTGATGAATGAGTTATGAGAAGGAATTTTTTTTAGTTTATTCAAGGGGCCAGATTTTCTCATGTCTTTAAGCCTTGAAGCCGGCGTCTGTGGTTTAGCCCGTAGGTGCTTCGCCTTCACTCACCAAAGATTTGTTTGTTTGTTTGTTTGTTTGAGTAAAAAGAAGCACATCGACACAATAATGGCCATTTGGTGCTGGGACAAAGTAAGACAGACAGACAGAGGCCACAGAGGGGAGAGTAAAGAAGTAGGACCTACCAGAGGCACCCTCCAACAACTCACAACCCACCGAAGACTTGAGTTCTATTCTTAGAGCTGGGAAGTTATACCACTCTCGACCTGAATTGGCCCTGACGAGGAAGGTCAAAACTGAAGGTAAAGTGATACAGGGTCAAAGCAGCCTGTCTCTTATAATGATCTAAATTGTATCGATGGGAACACAAAACATCAACAATTACTTTATTAACGGCTCCAACGCCTCCTCTCTCCCATTCTCATAGGTGCGCCGTATTCTTGGTTTCGCCCTTTCCTCTCTCTCGTTTTTTTCCTCTCCTCCTCTTCTTCTCTCCCCCCCTCTCTCCCCTTTCTTTGTTATTCCTCTCATCTTCTCCCCCATCCACGTTTCTGTTTCTCCCTCCCTCTCTTCCTTTTTACCTCTACCCCCATCCTCCCACACCCCCACCCCCTCCCACCAACGTCCCAACAACTGATTTCCTTCAACGACAGATCCTGATGAAATTCTGAAATACAAAACTCCATCCTGCTGGCTGTCCTTTCTATCATGCGGCTCGTGCCCCGGGCTTGTTGCTGGCGCTTACAGCAGGAAAACTTTATGACATTTTCATGTAGTCAACCTGCGAATAATCCGCGCGTTTGATTCAGCCTCCGAGCCGCGGGGCACGTCATCGAAATACAATTACCGTTTTTGGACAGACTTGAGAGGAACAGACAGAGATCGACAGCTTTCTCTGACCACAGCAGACAAAGTCGATGGCTCCACGACGGTTGAAGTTGGAACTTTTCGACGGGTGGCGTGGGTGGTTGGAGGGTGTTTCCGCTAAGCTTCTCTCGAATCTGTTCTGTTTGTTGTTCGTTATTTCTACATGTTGTCTTGTGAGTGTGTGTGTGTGTGTGTGTGTGTGTGTGTGTGTGTGTGTGTGTGTGTGTGTGTGTGTGTTTGTTTGTTTGTTTGTGTG